ATGAAACTTTGGGAGATACAGTCATCCCATAGCAGTAACTATGGTTTAGAAATGGCAGGAATCCACACAGATACGTCTACAAAAAGATTTAAAGGAGATGAAACTCCCAGTCTCAGTGTGGTACCACCTACTTTCAGTGGTTCCTGCATCCATCTTGGCCTTCCGCACTCTATCAAGAAACGTTCCGTTTTTCTTAATTCAAGAACTTTCAGATTTTACAAACCTCTGGGTTCTCTCTCGGCTGCAGCCGTTTCAGCACTGATATTGGGAGTCGAGGGTTGATTTTATCCAGCTGATGGGCTTTTCCAGAAAAGAAATGTCTCATGACCCCAGGCCTATTGAGGTCTAGTCGTCCTGCTCTCGTTTCTGTTTTCAGTCTCAGCTGTTCACGGCCTGCATCGTTTTCTCTCTAATCTAACTTGGATCCTACCACAAAAACAGGAGAACACCAGATAGAATAAATTATTCTGATGGCCAACAATCCCTGGGCATTTTTCTCTGTTGAAAGAAAACAAAATTACCACGAAAGGCATAATGTAGCCCCCAGTTCCTTTTCAGCAAACACTTGGGTATCCGGTGGACGTCCTCAGTGGTGCAGATCTGATGGTTTTTATCTGTGGCTTCACCATTTTGCTTAAAGGGGCAGTATCTTGCCCTATTTTCCACCGTGACAAAGTACTGTAAGGAGAACATGTTTGAAGTCTACTTTCAGAGGTTCCTGCATCCATCTTGGCCTTCCGCACTCTATCAAGAAACGTTCCGTTTTTCTTAATTCAAGAACTTTCAGATTTTACAAACCTCCGGGTTCTCTCTCGGCTGCAGCCGTTTCAGCACTGATATTGGGAGTCGAGGGTTGATTTTATCCAGCTGATGGGCTGCTCTCGTTTCTGTTTTCAGTCTCAGCTGTTCACGGCCTGCATCGTTTTCTCTCTAATCTAACTTGGATCCTACCACAAAAACAAGAGAACACCAGATAGAATAAATTATTCTGATGGCCAACAATCCCTGGGCATTTTTCTCTGTTGAAAGAAAACGAAATTACCACGAAAGGCATAATGTAGCCCCCAGTTCCTTTTCAGCAAACACTTGGGTATCCNAAATTACCACGAAAGGCATAATGTAGCCCCCAGTTCCTTTTCAGCAAACACTTGGGTATCCGGTGGACGTCCTCAGTGGTGCAGATCTGATGGTTTTTATCTGTGGCTTCACCATTTTGCTTAAAGGGGCAGTATCTTGCCCTATTTTCCACCGTGACAAAGTACTGTAAGGAGAACATGTTTGAAGAGTGGGTCACTCATAATACTCAGATTCAGCCCATAAAACCCAAAGAAATGTGGAGGAATTTTGAGTTATCAAAATGCACCAAATCAGTCTAAAGTCACCTGTCCAGACAACGGGAACGACTGGAAAGCTGGTAAAGACGTTTATCTTTTTGTTTTATCATTGTGTAATACGAGCTAGCGGTAATAATATAAGGAAATATTTTAAAATCAGATTCGGGTTATATCTTAGGGTTCATATTCTCTCTTATCTCCATAAATCACAGTTTTATCATAATCGTTCTGTGGTGGTTTTAGGAACTCAAAGCAGAAGCGAGTACCCCCTGGAATCCACTATTCTCTGTGTCAACAGAGGTGTAAGAGTGGCCAGAAATTCAACGTAGGCCATGTCGTTCCTGAGATGCCGCACCCCACGCAGTTAGCGTAGTGTCTGACATTTGTCATCCATTAGTGTACTCGAGTTAGATGGCCTACAGTCCTGACGTTATTTCAGTAATTCCCAAACCACATTGCCCACTTGCAGCGATGATATTTACAAAGTTATCCCTTTTGTTAAGGTAGATGCCACTTTGTACGTACTCCTTTAAAATGGAAATTTGAAAACATACACTATTTTAAAAAATATTTCTGCTGCCACATTAAGCCACTGCCTCTGGAATTGGCTTCTGATTTCAAATGATGAGTAAAGGTGGGCCCTGTTTCCTTGACAGGATGTTCAAACTGGAACAGGCCCTGGAAGATCACCCCTGGAATGTAGCAAGGGCACCACAAAGCCGGACAGAAAACGGGGACTTCTTAGAGAGAGTGGAAGGGACCTCATGGTGCAAACGTCCACGAGGGTCAGCCTGGACCCGCAGCCGGACCTGTGTTTGCTGCAGGACAAGGATCCAGGGGAAGGATTCAGTGGAGAACGTGGCCTGGCCGGGCCTGGAGGAGCTGCGCCAGCCGAGGAGGCAGTGGGCACCATGGCAGAGCACCCCTCCTGTCAGAGACCTCACCCCACCGAGGAAGCTGCAGAGGCCCCAGGAGGAAAATACCTCCATTACCACGGCCGATCTTAAAACTCCACCTGCCGTTTGCAACTTTTCTTTCTCCCTGGTAAAGGCAATGTTTATAACACAGATGGAAAGAACTGCACATCACAAAGTGGTGTAGGAATATTAAATCACGTTTATTTGTGCTTGGCACTACTTGAGCGGTGTTTTCCACCGTATTCCTATTTTTGAAACTGATGATACATGCACATATGTGTATGTACATGTAACTCATACACTCATGAAACTCTGCAAAGCAGAATTTTGAATTTACAGCCTCCACCACTTCCCGGCCTGCAGGAGAGAGAATGTGGTGTCAAATTGGTTCTGCTCAGGAGCAGCCGTCCCCCTGCTGAAGCCACCTGCATGGCAGGCCCCCTCCCCGGCCAGCCCTGCCTCCCCTCTCCTCCAGAGCACAGTCCTGCCTCCGCCAGCTGGGCGCCCTTGTCCTTTTGTGTGCAGTGTGGTTCTTTGACAAGGCTCCTTCGAGAAAAAGACAAAGGGACTCATTTTAATCAAAGGGAGCTCTGAGTCGGGAAAGAGCCCACAGAGCACTTGAGCCCCAGGCGAGGCCGCATGTGGGACTCACCGCTGTAAACACCTGGATCTGTCACAGAAACGCGAGAGCTTGCAGCAGGCCTCCTCCCGAGACCCACCTTGGGAGAGAAGGCGGTGTTTCGTCCTGACAGGTGTCATTAGTGGTCTGTGTCCAAGTGTTTACGCCTAAGCCGGTGGTCCCAGCTCAGGGCCACCCTCCTCTGTGGTTTTCTGTATTTCTTCAAGAATGTGCGCCAGGAGAGACGAGCTCTGACTAGCTGCTGCGTGTTGAAACTTGGTATTATGCACTTTGGTTTTTGTCAGCCGAGAGGAGAGACCTTGCTGTCTCCAGTTCCCTGCGTGGTGGATATATCCCCCCGATGATGAGCACACCGCAAGTATTCAATCACCACTTAAACTTCTAAATCACCAGGCTGTGTGGGAAGGGTGTGTGCCTTTAAGACAGAGGGTCCGTTTAGAACCAGCCCACTGTTTTCTGGTTTTCTGGAGCTGGGGACATGGCCGAGTAGAAACAGGGTCCTGGCAGAAGTGAC